GGGGGGGGCTCAAGGGAGTCAGTGTGCTAAAATTTCTTCATTTTCCTTGTTTAGAATCAGAGGTGCTAGTTTCAAATCCTTTTTATTGAATAAGGTGGTTTTATTGTTTTTTGTCACTTTGAATAATATTTCTGTTCATGTTAAAAATGAAATCAACTCTGTATAAATATATCAGGTGACCGTTAAGGCCCATGGGCCTCTTGTTCAGAATTGATATGGTGATCAGGCTATTTTGTGTTTTGGTGGTGGTGTGTGTTTGTGTTCTCGTAAGGTCAAATGGAGTCAGGGTTGAAGGGAGGTACTCTTGCTCCTGTGTGATATTGACCTAAATTCATACCATAATATACTAATGTAGAAACAAACATGTACCAAAGTGCCAATACGCAAAAATTGGTGCCATTTGATGACCTCATGCTGTCGTCCTGTTGGTTTTTAGTGAGTTCGTCTCTGATCTTGTAAATATACATAGAACCTTACGCGCCTTTGGTCACCCCGAAGTCTTTTCTGAAAGGTCGAACTTGATTTTCCCTGCCCCTCCTCCCAAAATGTAACATGATGTCTACATAGACCTGAAAACACAAACATATAAATATCAGTCATCTGTCATGTTTATACACAGGGAGGAGGGGAAAAAAATTAAAGGAGTATTGATAAAAATGTACAGTACCATTTTTGGTTTCCTAACAATGTACTTTTACAGAAGTGACTTTAAATAGGAAAAGCATTGTAAGCTTCGCAAGTTCAACAGTCTAAATACTGAATGCTTTTATTTTTGTTTACGGAAAAGAAAGTTTGTTGATTGTGTATCATACCTTGTACTGCAATAACTGGCCATTCTCTAGGTTATCATGTGTCAAATATTTGTACATTGTTTCCAGGTCCTCGTCGTTAATGAATGGATGGTGATTCACAGCAGCTAATCCATTCTGTTTCATCTCCTTCGTCATGCATTTAAATGACCGAGTAGATTTTTTGAAACCGTCCCCTATACAGATGTCATGCGTTTTGTATTTGGATACAATGCCTGTATGCCAGTAGTGTGGCCTTTTTGTACATCTCTCCCTTCTTGTTTCTCATCTCCAGATAGAATTTTGACAGGACATCGTCCAGGTCTCCTGCATGAAAATGCTCAAAAACGGTCGGCAGATTTTTCGCAGTTAAATATTCCCGGAATGTTTTTTACAGTGGTAGAAGTACACCTTTTAGTATTGTCAGCATCAACACCTTCCATAAGCGCGTCAAGTTGTTCACCTTCAATGTTGGGGAAACTGTCAACGGCTATTTCAGCCGCCATCTTGTTGCTACGGAAGCAGGACGGTGCGTTCGTTTGGATACACGTCATAATTCTATTTTTAGAAACAACCAGTCCTTCAACTGAAATCACGCGCTCCAAGTCAATATCGGGTTTTTTTCGGTGGACACGTGATGCACTCTTGGCCAATCACTTGTCGGAAATAATATTAAAAAGTAATGTGTTATATGTAATTCAACGTATTTCAACGTATATTTATGTTATGTTTATAGTAAAGCGCGATCAGGCGAGTGCGTTACTCCTATATCATAAGAGGCCGCTGGTCGACCTTTTTTCTATCGGATATTATTTTGCCGACTGCGACCTCTTATTTCCGAAGCACTTATTCTTTGATGCAGATTCCGTCCGAAATCTAGGCGGAACAAAATCGGCTTGAAAAACTCACTTAAGTGGTGAACAGTTCAAGACAACGATGTCTTCTCACAGTTCATATAATATAGATCCCATGTGTATGCCACAGACATGAATATATATTAAGGAATAGAACACTCAAAGTACATGTCCATGTCGTTGTAGCATTATCTGACCTACTTTTAAAACATGGCTTCTTTGGTTAGTACAAAATAGCAGTGGGAATTTCAAACGGAACGAAACGATATGGATTTTGTTTGTATTCCGCTTGTTAAACATCAAATGTATTCCATTTTTGTATTAACCGGAAAGTCATGGCAAATGTTGTCTGCTTCACTTTGAAAGAGTAAACACTTATTTTTGAATGCCTTTTACACCAAATTCTTCTCAATTAATCATAGATTTATGGAAAAGAATATTTATTGGACACTGCTGAACATTTAAATGTATGTTAACTCGTTATACTTTTTCGAAATCCGAACTCAAAATTTGATCGTCAGCTTCGGTAAAATCAGCGCCTGTCAAATGTCAAAAGTTTCTCGCCGTGTAAAACCTCCAGCATTGATGGAATAGCGAGTCCGTATGCGTATATGGAAAAGTATGTAAGCCATGAGTGGCCATATAGAGCTTCAGTTGTATAAATTATGTTATGTGTTGTATGCTGACCCCGCACGATATCATAGCGTAACTTATTGTTTTCTAGATTATATTTTCATAATATTTTTGTGGAGGGTTTAATCGATTTCTGGTGTACAAGTGATAGGGCATAAACTTAGGTATATTTTTATTAATAATTGTTTGGAATCGTATGTGATATGTGTGCGAGTTTTACTCAGGTGTTTCTGTTCTTATATTTAAAGCTTCATGTGAGGGTTGCGATGCACACCAGCTGATCTCTATCGGGGCCTGTTAGAGACACAGTGGTATGGCGCCAAGACCGACGTCAGTCAAGGTCAGCCTATGCATTATCTGGGCACGAGAACAGACCAAGAGTTAGTCTGGTGGTGAAAAGACAGGAAACACAACCGTGGCCATCAGCCGAAACTACAACAGTGACTGTTGTCGGAAGCACTGAAAATGTAGTTCCATTTCCCCATTACCAGCAGTGTGGTGCCATATGTATATTGGTACCATGCACCATATACTGTCCTTTGTGGAACTTGGTGTCCTGTGTGGACATTGGCCAGTGTCATCTGATTGTTGAGTTGTTAGCGGAACACATTGTCTTCGGAGTACGAGGAGACTTACAATATAGTGTAAGACACGTCCAGGAGAACTTGTGTTGCAGCAGAGACTTTTTGTGAAGTATATATAGGATCATTATGTGTGAAACTGTGTGGGTGTGAGTGATTTGTTTATATTGTAAATATGTATTCATTTCATTTGCCGTGTAACTACTCGACGCTCATCCTACGTTACGTAATAAAAAAAAAAAAAAAAAAACAGAGCTGCTTTGATTCGTTACATTTTAAGTAGGTGTTTCACTGCTTCTATTTTTTTTGTCTTTCCTAAGTTCACATTTTAACTCAATTTTAGTATTATTTTGTGTAGTAATTTGTTAACTGCTGGCTCCGATTGATCATGAAAAATTACTTTTGAATATATGTTCTTTTGTAGCTAGACGTTTTACATTTGTAACGTCATATAGGATTAACTTTGATGTATTTCTTTGCGAATGTATGTTAACAAACAATTTATATATGTACATCATTTGTTTTGATCTTGCATGCGCCAATAAATCCCGAATGGACGAAATGGGTGCAGGAAGTTATTTACTTTGATTATATTCGTTGATTTATTAAATTTTAAAATAGGTTTAAACTTGCATCATATTCCTAGAATTTGTTTGATTTTTTCGCCCGACCTTGCGAAAACAAATTTATGAACCAATTTTACCATACACGATGTACCGCTTCCTTACATATGGATGCTATATTTAAGGCCTCGGTATCGTCAGTGTGATCGCGATATACCGCTACAACTTCCAAAAGACAGAAGGGCCATCCCGCTTCTATTTCATATAAGCTACAACTGCAAAAGAAACGACGATTTTAGTTATTTTAGCGTTTTCTTCAAAATGTTGATCACTCTTTGTAATTCGTGACGCTTTGAATACTCAATTGTATGACTTGTCTGGGTCATTGACGCCATTTACAATCGTCATCAAGGTTTCATATGCAAATGAGAAATTTGCGGAGGAACTATTCGGAAAATATTTTGATTGACCAATCAAATATCGTGTCACATCTCAAACAATTAGAATAATGCTTAATGGTTGGCAGCATTGTTTGTATATGCTGAAGAATGAATAAGTCACTACGGGATGTAAATGTATGCAGTGTGTATTCTGATACAAAGATATTTTAAAAACAAATCTTTCGATTTAAAAAATAATTTAATGATGAAAAATGATCAAATACATATCATGGGTCTGGTTAATGTAAACAAATATGGATTTCAAAATGATATGATTATAAACAGGTATACACAGGAATATACATGTTAAGGATGCATTGACACATTTCAAACTGAAGTATATTAACAGGTATATCGAGCCTTTTCAGATCCTCTGTTTAAGGCCTGGTGACGTAAATCCTAGCATTATTATAATAATATGCTTTTACGATAAAACCTTTGAAATATCAATAGAATACAAGTTCGTGGGGTATTGATTTCGTTTTGATATTGCATAACATAAAACGTCCTTTATATATATTTCCAAATGGTGAACGTCTTGAAATACCAGCATTTGAATTTATACTGTGTCCACAGATATTGGATAAATCAAGAAACATGTTATATAGATATTCCCAACAAACATCTTCACTATTGCAAACACCAACAGCAAAACTTACATTATGAAACCTCAAATTTTGAATTTTATATTATTTTTAGAAAATGTCAACACTGCAAAAAAGATAAATAATAGAGAGCAAATAAAAATTATCTAATATAAAATTAATTTCGAGAAAATTATAAGTTCAATCACCTGAGTGTGTGTTAGGGCTGGTAACTACGTTTATCTTCAAAGAACAATTTTAAATATTTTTTGTGGGAAATATGTCCATTTTTAAACACACAAACTACATGTAATCCTGAGCACAATTTTTTATCGTGTGACTGTTTTCTTCTGTGGAGTATTTTGAATTTGTGTAACAAGGTTGTCGTACATAATACCATTTACATAAATGATTATACAATTTCTACGTGTGACGTCAAAGATGTGCCTTTCTCGCTTTCTTGGGATCATTGTGTACAGATCCGGCTTTATTTTTATTTTTCATGCTAGCTACGATGTTCGTGTACCAAGCCTCCTTAGGACTGCTTTCCGCCTCAAGCGCCCCGTTACTAAGTGTATTGTACTCGTTAATGTAGAGGTCGCCGGGTGTTGTCTCTTCTGCAGTGTGCACAACGCCTGCCTCATTAGGTTCAGCCGGTATTGTTAAAGTGTTGTCAGAAACTCGGAATGACATGCCTTGCCCAGACATTGGCATCTCTGGTGACATAAAAGCTCGGTTTGCAAGAGAACTGCTTCTTGTTCGACTACGTGTTGGTGCTTGCGTTCTGGACCTCGAAAACCAGAAGGGTGACTGGATCATGCGTATTCTGCGCAGAAATGTTCTAAGTTGTTCTAAGTTCAACCTATTAATAGCGTCCCAGTTCACACCAGCTTTTGTAGTCCTAACAGGTGCCTGTGTCGTTGTCGGTATTATGTTAACAAACGAGTTACCTCCCCATGATCGGTGACCAATATCCACTCCATCAATGATAGGATTTTGTCGAGATCCAATGCGATGGTGAGAACGAGGAGATCCTGGTCGCGTCCATGTGATTCTTGGTCGCCTTGGCGGATTACGGAGCTCGGGGCGTGTCATAGCTGGTGAAGGACGTCTGTCTGATACGGGAAATCTGTCCGCCACGGGGCGTTGTGGTACCGGCGATGGACGCCTGACAATTATTGGGCGTCTATTTGGAGGAAGTCTCCACCACCGACCCCGAAACCCACCGCCATTCACATCTGGTTGTGGGCGTGCCGTAGTAGGAGTAGTAGTAGTTGTAGGACTAGGTGTGGTGGTAGTTGTGCTTGTGGTGGTGCGAGGAGGAATTCGAGGCCGAGGAGGAGTCCGAGGACGCTTCTCTGTAACCGGTAAAGGGTTTGGTCTTGTAATATCGTCGATACCAGACTTTTCGGCTCCTATGCTTATGTCTGCGCAGTTACGGAATTCTTCCTGAACTCCACATCCAATGCATCCACGATTTTCTTTTTCGTCAATGCCCCAACTGTTTCCTAGAATAAGAAGTACGATAACGTTGTCATTATTCTTTCCGAATAATTTCATAATAGGACCTACCTCAGTTAACGTGATTGTCATGGCTGTGACCAACAATTAAATAGTCAATCATTTTATGATCGATTGCGACGATTATAAACAAAAGCGTGATAACGTTTTTAATATAACATCTATAAAAACATTTCAACATTGCCTGTGCTATTAATATATAACTATAGTAATTTGTACAAAAATATCTATCATGTTTGGTGGGTTTTGTTTATCTTTAAAACATTAACATTTATCGGAAGGTTTGATGTATTAATTTTTGTGAACGGCTATGTTAAGTACTGTCTGGTCCTAAAGGACTAAAATTGTATATAGACTGTTAAACAATACCTAAACAATACCAAAACAAAATAAATTATATTCCTTTTTCCGATTCTGATTTAGTATTCACGCCAATAAGAAACGGGATCCGATTGCGTATAAATAGGTCACGGAGCATATAATTTTGATGACCTCGTTTCTCTTTTGACAATTTTAAGGTATTATCATTTTAGAAAAATAGAAATATTTGATGTTATTTTCGCTGTTGGACCTTGTTTGACCATATAGGACATTAAAAGCAGACAAATAGTACATCATACCTGTACGGTATCGCCACTGCAGCACACATTGGGAGCAGGTCATTCCTCGAGGTAAGATCAGATTAAGATTATGAAATCCTCCAGCTTCGGGATAGTATCTCGTGGGCTCGCCTTCGTCGACAACCGCTTCGGCCACCGGAAGTGGGTATCTGTTCAAACATTCTTGGGAGACTGGCGTCGAAATGTTGTTGTGAGGGCAGATCCGGAACTCGTAGTACCCTTTGTGATGGGCTGTCAATTCAATAGTAACCTGGATCTGTGACGTCCCTTTCGGGTACGATTTTACTATAATGCCAGTAGCGAATCTACCACCAGCCTCGTTCTCGCGAACATCTGCCGTGTAGGGGTCGCCACATACACCGCACAGTCCGCCAAGACGTTGTATTTCCTGCAATATGTAATAGCCTGCCTTATGAGTAACATTGTTTTTGATAGCCGTAAAAACTGGGTTTTCTAAGGACTAGCTAGTTATTTTGTTACAAGGGTCATATCAACAGTTCGAATTTTGAAGGTGATTATTTGTAATGAATAGGACCATGCTACAATAATTTTCGTTGTTAAAGATAGTTGTATATTCTCGTAATACATAAAGAAATTTTAAGATTTGGCCGCATTACGTGACCATACTATTTAACTGAACTTACGTCTCGTCCACCACAGTAAAGTTGAGTGTCCTCGTAATTCGGTTCCGTATTGTATCCCTCTCTCCACATCGATGACCGTTGAACTGGTTCCATCATTCGGCCATGTTGGAGCGAAAGTCCAATGAAATTTACCATCATAAACGCACTTACTATTGTTGCAGTCATTTTTTCTGTATTTGTGTTTCCACAATGATTCGTTTTTCTGTAGAAGAGAAAGAGATTAAAGTGAACATCGACTTAAACGAGTCTAACACGACATCATTTGTTTAACGTGTTACCAAACATTTTAAAGGCCATAATTCAAAAGCACAACGTCGTCACAAAGCAATCAGGATTGTTTCAACATCTTAGGCCACGAAGCTAAAAATGATATTTGGATTCACATTCGATAAGAATTTTGTATTCGAGGCTATTTAGTTTTCGGTTCAAATGTTAAGGAAATGCCATTTTAAAATGACAAGCAAATTTTCGATCACCTTTTATTTGAAAGGCGTGATAGTTTTCCTCGTACAGATGTGATATCACTAGAATTAATTAAATAGTACAAAGGTCAATAAATGACAGTTATTGCGAGACGTTATGTCAAGTTGTCAGTTTCAACTTCACCTGGTTTTAATTTATCACAGCAGAGCATGATGGAAATTGAATTATACAAAGATTACCTTTATTATATTAGGTATAAAGTAACCCTTTTATAGTCATGCTGGGATCAATCGGATGGTTAGATTAACTACTTCTGATATATATATAAAAAAAACTATTAGTATTGATTTTTTGTTTGTTACTTTACTGCTATAGAATACTTTTGTATTTTACACAAAAAAATCCTTGCGAAAAGGATATGGCGCTTAGTTTTCATTGGACATTCAATCATAATATCTTTCTGGGAATGTTTTGGTAACTGAAATATGCTATATAAAATGTTGGTTAATGAACGTTCCTTGAGAGAAACTTGTACATTTCAAATTACAAAAATTGTCAAAATCATGAGATACCATTCCAAACAATTCACAATATGAGGATTTTAACATAAAACTTGTATATTTTATAATGTACTGATTATATCATTCTTGTGCATCGTTATTTATTAAACCTCGTCTCGATTTGATTTAAGAGTTCATTTGTATCGTTACCAGATTCTCATGTAAAAGTTAATTTTTAAAACAACTGGATAGGTTCATGATTGACTTAAAATAATGACAACAATATCTGGTCGTTTATTTAGTTGTTTCGAAAGGTGTTATATCGAGATGTTTACAAAAGATCTTTTTTGTTTAAAGAAGAATAATTCAAAAATTCTCTCGCCATCTTTATTGTTTTCTTTATTCCTTTTCCTTCAATGTTAGTACCCACCGTTTACAACGTACGCATATTGATGGAACATTAGTACTCTATCAATTGTTTTCTACTATATATATTTAAAAATATTTTCGGATAGCTTCATGAGCAATAGGAACCACCTGCAGTCTATCTATTGTCAACCGGTTCTGCATAACATTATGTAATGTTAGTGGACTGTAACAAATATATCAGAAACACAACTTTTGAAATGAAACTCACCTACTGAGTCTTAATCCATTAAGCACTGGTAAGTCCGTTCTCATCAGATAGTCGAAGGTTTGATAGTTACGATTGAACAAGTTTCGCCTTTTATATGCAATATGGGAATTTTGAAACAATTAAGGACGAATGTGAGCAAGAGGTCAAACGTCATCTATTTCTTCCTCGGTTCGTGCGGAGACATCCATCATTACGGCTACGTAGACACGTAAGTGAGTTCGTGTGTCGATATGTCACCGTGACAAGCTACACAAGATACAAACGTTCACAAAATCCGCCGACGAGCACATCATATAGACAGCTATACATGGGTCTGCTGAACGTTTTGCAATCAAATGTCTGTCTTAGATTTCTTTTTAAATGTCATTTTAAAAGAACAATGTCGTACACAGAAGTATGAAGATTTGATCTAAAGTTACCACAAGGTGCATTTACTTTTCACATGAAAAAAAAATCTATATCGAACATACTTGAGTAATTATCGTGGGAATTCCGCGCAGAAAGGGTATACAAGTGATTCATTTTGAATGATACTCGTAGTATACAGTAAAGTGTTTTAATGGCATTTCTTACTACAAGTCCTGTCAAAATTACATACATTACATGCTCCAACAGTACCGACTTTCTGTATACAGTCATTCAGTTTCTTCTATATCATCTAGATCTGTCTCAAAATAAGAGTAATAAAAAATACCAGGCATTTGCTTGAGTACTTTATTCCGTACCATATTGTCATTGTTTACATACCAATAACCTAGACTATTGCATGGGACATAATGCAATAATTACTAGTTTAATTCCGTTGTGGTCAGATGTGCACTTTCAATTCTTAATTTTGTTTCTGGAGGTTTTGTCCACCGAATAGAATGCATGCTGTATTCGTTCTTGTCCCGATGAATGTTGATTTGTGAATACATTGATTAGACGGGGTCAGACGATTTCACAAAAAAAAATCTTACAATAACAAAGTACAATGATAATACATTTTACTTTTTTTGTCGACGGAAGACAAGGATAGTTTTTGTAACGTGCTTGATGTCTCGTCCGTCGTCTCGACCGAACAAGGAAAACCCATATTCCAAAATCTTGTATATCCCTGTTTAGTGTAAAAAAGATTGCTCTTATGACTTCGTAGCTGTACTACAATGTTCGGCAGAACATAAACATATTTTTATATATAGACACGTATTAATTTACATGACAACATATAATGTCGTAGTGGCAGGTTTACAAACCTTTCTTATTTAAATAAACATACCGATGACAACATTTCGTTCGTTTACGGTGTTACATCTCCAAACCAAGTATGCATGTAGTTGATTTATTCTAGAATTATTTGAAAATTAAGACTAGATTTTGTATGTAACGACTCCTATCAAAATCTCTGGACAAACTTCTTGGTGTTTTTAATAGATTGAGGTGCTACATAGTGTTTTATTGTTGACTGTACACCTGCTCTCACAGCGCGGCTGTACGACGTCTGTATACCACTCTGTCAACAACCGAGCCGTTTCATGCTTTACGACTTCCATGTCGTAAAACCGTCGCTCGCGTTATTGAATTAGACAGCGCGAGACGTCACACAATATTTACATTTAACAGCCAATTAGGAAGACTGTTTGTCAATAACGACGACCAATGACATGACGCGTTACATATCTGCAGATATATCATTTTTCTAACTACATATCAGAATATATAATTTTTCTATGTCATCGTGGTATTTAACTGTTTACATCATCTTGGACAAACAAATTGAGGCATACTTTAAATTCTACATAATTTTAACGTTTCGATAATTTCGTACGTCAGTGATTGATGATATGGGATGTAACTGGTATTACGTCACGAGGAAGGAAACAAAATCACTGGGTCTCCGGACGAGCTTTAGTCATTTGAATTTTACAGAAATATTGACCCAAGATATATTAAATGTGTTGATGGTTTTTTTTAAAGATTTTGACCACAACGCCCAAATACTATAAAGAAACACCTAGGGAAAATGATTAAAATACAGTTCACTTTCACTTTCACATGTATGATTTTAACATCGATCGGAGCTCTTGCAGTCTTGGGTTATAACAGGCTATATGTGGGGCTTGCTTCAAAGGGGAATGGTGTTATATGCAATCTTCGTACGGACATCGAAAGAAATTTATCTAATGTGTTGATGGTATTGCAACACTGTCCTCAGGTGTTGTCTATTTTCTCCTGTCTGCTCTTTTCTTTTGCGAATGCAATACCTGCATCACATCGATACGTTTTATGAAATAAAGATGAACCTTATTGTCATGCTTGTGATCAAATAGTTAAGCATTTTATGATCGAATGCATCGGCAAGTTGTCAAGAGTTTTCAAAAAGTAACAACTATGAGAAGTTTGTAAACGTCTGCCCTTAGTGCTGTTGTGTCCGAAAGGACTCTTAACTGTCGACGGGCCGACAAAGTAACAAAAAAGTATAAATTAAAACAAATCTTCACTTTTGGCGGCGTCTCTAGGTACCCGGGTTCATGTAGCATTTGTTTTTTTCGAGGATTTCCAAAATCCGAACAAACCAATATACATGTTTGGGAAAAGATTTTACCGTTTAAATGTTTCTACTGTCTAACTCTGTAAGTGTATATTTTAAATGGGTCGATGAAAACCTTAAAACACAACACGGAGAATGTTGTTGTTTTTTATAAAAAAAAATCCAACGGTTTTTATAATATAGGTACAGAACAGGTATTTTCATTTTCACACTCTCTAACACACATTTTGACACTTAATTCACTCATCATCATCATCATCATCATCATCAACATCAACATCATCCTGAACGGCATTACCATTATCATCTTCCTCATCATCCTTGCAATCATCTTCCTTATCCTCAGAATCGTCAACATCATCAACATCACTATCCAATCAGCATCCTGATCATAAACGTTCAAACTATCCGTTCCTCATAGCCATCATCATCCTCAACATCATTGTCATCATCCATACAATGCGTGTCATCAGCAACACACCTCAACAGACAGCCACTGAACCATGCTGCAACATCATTTTTAGGTCACCTGAGCTTTGCTCAAGTGACCTATTCCAATCGCTTTTCGTCCGTCGTCGTCCGTCGTCCGTCGTGCGTCGTGCGTAAACTTTTACATTTTCAACTTCTTCTCAAGAACCAGTGGATGGATTTTTTTC